GCCAAAATTGGCCTTCAGACCCATGTTTAGGCCAGTGGTAGACCCCGAAATAGACCGGAAATGACAAAACCATTGTGCATTCCGTAAAATATAGACCTTCAATGACCAAAAAATCGCGGAGTTGAGGAATTTTAGGGTGGGGCCAAAAAAGGCCCTTAACGATACCCCTCGTTTCTTACGTAAATTGTGAAGTAAGGAGTGCATTTCAGACGTTGCCAATGCGCTCATCATGACATTTTTGAGACACTTTCTACGAGTTACAACTCTTATTTTTGCTCTAGCAAAATTTTGCAACGGGTCCATTGTGTTGGTTCTTTTCTGCCAAATTCGATCAAAATAGTGGCCAAAACTAGAAATTCCGTTTGCCATTGTGCAAAATCATCCTTATATATTCTACACAGTAGATTAAAAACAAAGGCAAAACTCACCTATTTGAACTAGACTATCGCAAGGCATGGTGTCTCCTGAATAAGTCATTTTCCAGCCTGAGGAATGTGTCAGAGAAACTCCAAATGAATGGACACAATGCTTCACTCCAATAGTTTGAATTAGAGTTAATCCGAATGTCTCCAGGAGGGCTTTTCTCTCCTCGCTCATTTCTGAGCATCCATTTGTGGGGCTCTGGGTAAAGATAAATAAAAGAGATAGAAATTACTCACTGACTTCCAACTTAGCAAAAGTAAAGAGTAAATGCAAGTTTATTAAATGACTACAGTTCGTGCTGAAGATATGTTCTCCTAGACACCTGAAAAAGCAAGCTTCTTCAGGAATTCGGGCATACCTACCCTGAAATGTTAGGTATTTTTTACCTGGTGTGTGTGATGTCCACAATCAAAGTCCACACATTTTTCGGCCATATAAGCTGTGCTTTGATCATTTTTGATCATAAAGGACAGATCACCAAGCGGACTTCATCCCAGCTTGCCAGCTTGCCTCTCAAACAGCTTTTCTTAAGGGCACCACTATCTAGACATCTACACAGCATCATATCGATGATCAAAGTGTGAAACACGTACCTCAAGTGCCGTATCTCAAAATTTTTGCTCCTATTTTATTTTTTTGGAGAAAAACGAGCCAACCTTGTGAACTGAAATTTATACAGAATATTCTGCTAGTAGAGAAGACAAATCAAGGAAGTTAGGTTGAATAGTAATTAGGTAAATAATAATAATAGTAATAAGGTAAATAATTAAGTATCAATTAAAGTATTTAATTAGTAATTTAGTAATTAGGTTAAATGGTTTTCCAAAGAAAAAATAAGTATGATACGAAGTTTGCAATATAGCAAATGGAGATACATGGTCTCACACTTTGGTCATAGATATACTACATGTACTTCATAGGAAAATTTTTGGTATCATTTGTGTGAAAGGGAATGGATTATTCGACTTGGCTTTTCAGGTTTAACAGTACAGCTAATGCAAATCGACGCCTCCTTCTCCTTCTCTTTCTGCTTAGATTGAGGACACATAAAGTTATCCTAGTGCCAAAAAACAGATTATAAAAAGCCTACCCCAAGTAGCAGTGATCGCGATGAATAGCGATTTTATCGGTTGGTTATCGCGATAATATCAGTGGCAATATATCAAGTATTTATCATATTAAAAATTGCAATACATGGCGATTAAATCGCTACACATCGCAATTTTTGGTTCGATAAAATCGCAATCAATTTTCATCGATAAAATCAAAATTAAACCGCCATTTATCGCGATTTTTATTTCGAAAATATCCCGATAAATTACCGGGCGATAAAATTGCGATTTTATCCCAGTGAGATCGAGGATAGTTGCTCAGATGTTGATGATCCTAGCGATTTTATTACCTAAAAAATTGCAATATATCCCGATTTTTCCATTGAAAAATGCTACTTGGGTACTGCTAGAAAACCGACATGACATGTGGATTTGTAAAGACTTACAAGGTCCACATTGGGTATCAGAGTGAAATCACTGAGAACAGGCTCAAAATTATAGTGATATAAAGTCATCCAACTCATGATTTGATGAGGAGCTATTAGAAAGATGGGAGAAAAATTCTCCTTTGGAAGAGCTTTTCTTCTTGCTTGCAATAATCCGATAAGTCCGAGATGATGATCTGCATGCAAGTGGGAGACGTAAATAGCTTTCAGCTTTGATAAGATACGATCAGAGTCCGATTCTCCGAAGAATCTCACCAACTGACTGTAGGTGCCCTCTCCACAATCTAACAGCATGCATGCTTCGGCACTGGAAAGGAAGAAATATTTGTGTACATGGTAGACAACTTATATTAGGACGTATTTCTATCAAACAGAAATATGTCCAGGTGGGAAAGATGGGGTGTGCTCGTTAGTACTTGAGCCATAAGAATGAATGGGAATGATGAAGCGCCAGTAACATAGCCGCCGCTCTAGTAGCCATTTGTCATATTTAACTCATGAACCCTGTGCACAGCGCTCATGACACATACCCACGGCTCATGAGTCTTGCATTCAGTCGGCACACAGTTCCATTTGCTGCATTAGAAAAATAGGATTTTACATTCTATCAAATGGAACTATGCGCACACTCAATGAGCCGTGGGCATGTGTCAAGAGCGTTGTGCACAGGGCTCATGAGTTAAAGACAACAAATGGCTACTGGAGCGGCGGCTACATCACTGACGCTTTGTCATTCCCATTCATTCTTACGGCCCAAGCACTAACGAGCACACCCCATCTTTCCCACTTGCACATAGTTCTGTTTGATGGAAATACGTCCATATAAAAAAAGAAAAAAAAACCCCTGAGTATTGCGTTTCCAGTTATTATTTCCCTCAAGGATCATCATCTTATTCAATCTTCTTCAATAATAATATCTCTCCAGCTTAGAATATTTCTATCAGCTGTACATGCTAGGGCTCAGTTTTTGAAATTTGATATTGTTCTCTAAAAATGAAGGAAAAGCTTTAAATTTAACACCACCTTCTCCTATTCAAAAGTAAAAAAAATAACCAAAAGTCTAAATAGACAACAATGTAAAAAGAAAAGCAGCTTTGAAAACAGATTAAAATCGATGGCTGAAGTCAAAAAATGTTTAAGTAGCTCAGATTGCTAAGTTATAAGTGAGAGGGTGTGTGTGTGTGTGTGTGTGTGATGTTCGTGTGTGGTAACTTACTTGTTTTGTTTTTTTTTTTCTTTTTCTGAAAAAATCAAATGAAATTAGAGGAAAACATTTTGATTAGCCTTCCTTGAAGAAAATAAAACATAATCAGAGATTTTGAAACGTCGCGATTACTGAGACAGGCATTATTTACATTCAGCCATTGATATATGTGTTGATAATTTTATGAAACTACTTCTCTTCTTTATTAATATATAGATATACTTTTGAAGAAAAGTTAAAAAAAAAAATTAAAATTCCTCATGGAAATTGATTATTGTACCTTAAATTCTGGACAATTAATGGTCCTTTTGTTTAGGAAACTTAGATGACAATTTTATAGAATGAATGAAAAAGAAAAAAAGCAAGAAATTAATACAAAAGTAACTTACTTGATTTCCAGTAATATACCGCTTGTATTCCTAATTTTATTTGGAACAGAGGAACCCGTGCCTAAAAATAACACTCTTGGGTAGTCTCTTGAATCTGTGGGCAAGCTTTTCAAATTCTCATGAAACTCATCTAATTTCTCCTTAAATCCATCGATGGAAAACGCCTCCTCAAGATATTTTTCTGGAGTGAGTACAGGACAAAATTCCCTGAAACAAAACAAAAACGAACCAATAGGATTATAAAAAATTGACTTAAAACTCGTCGCAAAAGTGTAAAAAAAAAGTATCCTAAGACTAGAACTTACAGGTTGTGCACAGGGGTATTAAAATGATACGCATTTGAGAGTATCCATGGCTAAATGCGTATCATAATTGAAATGTTCAAAAATGTCTGATTATGTTTCATTTTCTTGCGGAAAATTAATCTACATGCTTCGTGGCAATTTTCTGCAACTTTTTTAGATTGAACGAAGAAACTTCATACAAAATTTCAATAGAAATTGTTGGTTATTTTTCCTTTAAATAAATAATACAGTGTCACAATAGAAGATCCGTATTTTTCAACTTTAGCCATTGAGTTAATAAATGCATCATTGCAACTGAACTTCTTCCTATCACTACTTCATAAATCAGCTGATTACTGATATGCCATAGGCACCCAAAAAATAACCTGCTCTATTATCCTGATTTTACATGGCTAAAAGTGGCAGAATGGGATATGCGAGGAAATTGTTCACTGTGTTTCAAGTTTTTTCCGCAGCGGACAGAGATTAGGGTGAATGTCATCTGTATATAAGATGCTTAGATATTTACTGGAGAAAAACGGAAAATACTTACATGCCTGCTTGAAAAGTACGGTAATTTTGATTCTGGGGATAAATTTTTTGACGACAAGGAAACATTCATTTTGGCGTGCTAAAATTCACACATTTTTTCGGCATTTTTTTTTTTTTGGCGTGTTCATCTTGTCACACTAAAATTCGAAATCCATTTTGTCATACTAAAATTTTAAATTCAAAATTCATTTTGTCATTTTTGTGATATAAAAACTCATTTGACTGCAGAAACAATCTTTAATAAACTTACGTATCCACATTTAAGGTTGGGCGCAACTCAGCACACAGCAGGGTCCGTCCTTGAACGATTGAGAGGGATTCAGAGTTCATAACTTGTGCTTTTGACAACTCACTCAATCCTGTAAGAAAGAAAAATGAAAGGCATAAAATAAGGATGATGAAAGAAATTGAACAGTCGCGGATCTGTAGATGATAAAATTTCATTTATTTTTCTGAAAAGTAATGTTTAAAAATGACCGTTCCTAACATGCAGAGTTCATTGGTGAGGTCATTACTTCGACGTATAATTTCTTTTTTTCTGTGTTGTCGATAAACTTGCTGGGATAAATTACAATCACTTCATTTACATTGTGGGAAGACCAGATATCATGTTCTCATAAAAATGCTTTTGATTGAGCAACCACCTACAAGAAAGTATCAGCTCTGAAAAAGGAACAAGGTGAAAAGATGTATAGTTACCTTCTGAATGAGATACATTGATCGTATTACTATCATCATTACTGCTACCATCTATCACAGTTTCAGAATCAATGTTTTCATTCAATCTAGGATTCGGGATGTGTCCGTTTGATGAATTGCTACCGTCTTCATTCTCTGAATGATCCAAACGAATCATTGTGTCTTTTAGCAGAGGGAAAACATTTGCATCAAAGAGATTTAGCTTTTGTTGAACTTCATGCACAGCTGTGCTCCCCATACAGTGATTTGATTCGTTGAGGAGGAGATGTTTTGTGGTGGGCGAAAACTTCCTCATCCAAGATTCATACCTGCAGGTAGAGGGGGAACCATACTAATAATACAACAAGTGAAAAAATTTTCCTGAAATAAGACTATCTTCTAACATTCTTCGGCAACCTGTCTCTTGCCATTCTCAGAACACGACCATGCCATGTAAATTCCAAATATATGGTTAAAAAGTTTGAGCTTCCGGGAATATTGGTTTTTGTTTTCTACCTATGCAGTCACTCAGAAATAGGCTTGGAAAAAAAAATTAAATTCACTCACCTAAAAAAACGATTAAAAAATTTAAAACAATTCTTTATTATCATTGTGATATTATTAAAAATTCAATTCTTGAGAAACCGATTGGTCAAAACAAAAAAAACCAATACATCAATCCAAAGCTGAGAATATAAGCATTTTCATGATTATTTAAAATTTGCTAACTTTTAATTTCATAAGCCACACTAAATGTACTCCATTCAAACAGGTAGCAGAAAATTTGATGGAATAACCACAGAATACTGGCACTTCGAATGAATTGGCGTGCAGTGACAGGTACAGCAACAAACTACAATCAATAGCGATGCCGCTTTTCATTGGCTTATGCACCACCGACTAGGCCTACACAGGGTGATCTAAAAGTCCTGCATCACCAGTATCGAGTATCACTCTTGTAACTTTTGAAAAATTGATACAGAGACTTGAAATTTTGTGAGTATTCAAAGGTCAAAGAAAACGACTTTTAGGACCCCCTAAAATTTTGAGGGGATCTCTCTGACTAGGGGCAAGAGCCCCAGTGGTTATTAGGGTGGTGCAGAACCTTTGGGTTACCCTGTATAGCAAGGCAATTCTGGTCCTATGGGAAAAGATGCTCAACCCATTTTGAGCGTTCACGACGTTTGTAGTGTACATTCTTTCCCGTCGTTTTGCACTGGGTATGTTACTAATGTATCCATTGGTAAAGGCCCGCACTGCTCCATGGGAATCGGCGCCATTTTTCATGGCGGGAAGCAATACCTATTTTCTCAATTTTTTTTACGTACCATTTCTACCCTTTTACTCCTATTTTGTCCACTTTATGTAATGCCTGTAGGCTTGTCTTTGATAAATTAATATCTTTACGTTTTAAAACTCTGCAACGTACTTTTATTTAATGACTCTTTCAAGGATCGTTCAAAGTTTTTGTCGTCGTAGTTCTAGAAAAATCTTTGGGTACAAAGAACTCCTTCACTAATGACCCCTATATTTCACTCTATGATGACAAGACATTTCTTAAATATATGTATGTTTCCTAGGTTACGCTCAACGTTTAGTTCAACAGCGTCTTGCAGCGCTCTCTTCCGTCCGCGCAAGACCTCTTTCACATATTGATGAGGTGCTACGGTGAACGCTCTCCAACGTCATAATATTGGAACCATCGTCTTGTTTATCTTGCTTGCTCCGTCCGGCCAGTCAAGCTGTGTCTCCTGCTTCTGTCTACAATGTCAATTTCGTGTCAACAGGCTGGTCACACGTTCAAGAACTACTCCCACCTCTGCTTGTTTCTTTGATTTGGAATTTTCAGAGCGTATCTCATTTTTAATGCTGAATGATTGAGCACAAATGGAATAATTGAATAATTACCTGGGATCTTTCATCACTTCTGGCGGAGAGAAATGTGCAACTAAGTAAGCTATGTCATCTTTATCTCCATTTTTCTGATACTTTTCAAAACTACTCTCATTGATCAATGAGTCTACAAAGGCAACTGTGGGACAATCAACAACTGAAACAAAGAGAGTAGAGGCAGATTTGTGAAAGCAGGCGTTTATTATCAACTTTTTAATGAAAACATATTATGCTACCTGGGCTCAACAGCAGTATTTAGCAACAGCATTACATGTCAGTACCAAACATTTGCATTGTATAACTCACAAACTTTACAATTATTTTGTATGTTCACAAGAGGTAACCCAAAAATTACACTACAGTTGCAGTTCTTCATGCCCCTCTTCAAAAAATTGCGTAATGCTGATCCACACTGGGGTGGGGCAAAAAACAGCTTTTTTCAAAATTGAAATGCACTTAAGCAAAAAAGTTGCATATTGGCATTGCTTTGAAGCCTACAAAAAGGTCCCTCTTTTTTTAAAAAAAAATTTTGGTTTGCGCCCCGCCATTTTGGGATAGTTATTCAATTCCTGCATTTTCTGCCGACTCAACCATACTTTATAAGCATGGTAAAGATCAGCTAAAGCTCTCATTTTCGGAGTCAAAACTCACATTTTGGTTTCAATTTCACTTTACAGCGTGGCGTGCTAATTAGTTTTTCGATCAAAAATAATTTTTATGGCCCCTACATGCCCCAAAAAAGTTGGCAACATAATTGCGACTAGTATTTCAACAATTTTATTGAATTTTTTTTTAAGTGACCGTTGCGAAGACATGTTTTTAAGCTCTACTATATGTATGCAGGCAGTCTTAAACAAGGTTGAAACAGAGAAACAGAATATTGTGAAAAATTCTAGAATGCGTATCCCAAGGATATTTACCAATTGAGTTATATTATCAAGATACGGGCCGTTCATAGAATATGTAATGCTGGAGGGGCGGGGGGGTTTTGAGCCTGTGATATGTTACGATTGTTACACATGTAGTGCAAATTTTTCGAAATTCTATGATGACGCAGGGTGGCGATTTTCCACCGATTATTCATCACAAGAGGCTTATTTGAGGAAAAGGGGAATCAAACTAGGCGTTATGCTGGCTTTTTAGGGGGTTGTAGACTTGTATAGCAGGTGCATTACAAGGGGTAGAGGGGAGTAAAAGAATGCGGTTTTCAGCGTTACGTATTTCATGAACAGCCCCAAATTTCAAGCTAAATATGCAAGCAGCAGATTTGTCTCAATACAAACCAATTATTATTGGGCCAGGATCATCTGGTCCTTTGACCTCTTCCGCTTTGACTATTTCTCCACTGGGTAAGGTGACATTTTTCCCTGCCTTCAGAAAACCCAACAAAGGTCCAACCGGTACATTACGTTCAACGCATTTTTTAACATTCAGGACACCCGGTTTTGGATTTAGCTGGCATATAAACGCCATTGTTATGCTGCCTGACGATGTTTTCATTTTCTTTGCCTCTGTAGTGAAAAAAACATAAAACAAATAAAGTTGGAACCGCTGTGGAGATTGGATCCCTCCATAAAAAAAGGAGAGGATTGATGATACATACATGGGTCATCCAGCAGATGCTTGTATGTTTTACTGCATCCCTATGTATTGCAGGATAAAAAGTCCTACACGCCAGTTTATTTGATTGATTCTCAATTTAAAGTTAAAATACGACCAGTTAACTCCATTAATTTTGATTTTAAAATTAAAGTAACAGGCTTAGGAACAAAAATAGCAGAAACTAAAAAAAAAACATTAGTCTTCCCCCCCCCCCCCAGCTCAAATGACCCCATTAAACTCTCAAGGTCCTGGCATTTCTTAGTTCCATTCAGTTTTTTATCACATAATGATAACATATTGATGGTGAAACTATAAAACCACATATCTCGATTTGCAAAGTTGCATAAATCCTATCACATTTTACTTTTAAAAAATAACTGATCATCATTTTGGCACAAAATTTCCCGTAACTTTTCTTCAGCTTTTCAAAAATATTCTCCAAGAAGTTTGCTCCAAAATGAATAGCGAGAACTAAAACACACCAACTCGGTAACTCGAAAATGCTCAATTTCCATTAAAGACAGTTAATTTACATAAAAGTCATTGAAGTTAGCGCATCTGTTCCAACTTTGACCTGTACTTGTCTTTTGGCAGCAAAAATCTTTTTCTTAAACTAACTTCTTCACCTACTGAGCAGTTTTATGTGTGTTTTGATTATTTTAATTTTTCCGAGTTGGTGTGTGTTTGTTCTCACTGATTCAAATGTCTGACAGGGCAGTTTTTTTTTATTCAAAAAAGGAACAGAAATTTAAAAATGCAAAGTTAAATATGTTTTTCTCTGGTATTACCATCAATGTCCTTCTTGTTTTCCTCACCAAGTTGGACTGCAGTTTACAATACATGCTGTGACTTTTTCAAAATGCAAGGTGTTGGAAACAGAATTTTCCGTACGCTTTGTATGGTTTGCTTTAACAAAGCAGAGGCTAGGAGTGAATCCAGTACCTCTTGGTAAGTTAATTTTTGCATGTGATACCACTAATTCCAGAAGAAAATTTTTTACCTTGATGAGAAGCTTGTGCAATATCCTTTCTTTTTAAAGCATTTTCACTTTTGGAATTGTCGTGCGAGTTTGACTTCTCACTTTGTGGGCTTCTTTCGTGTCCATAGTAATCAGTATCATCCTCCATCAGAATTGGAGGTTCAGCCTGATTTGAAGATCTGGGAAAAGTAAACATTTCTTGATTTAGCAAAGGATAATACAGCCCTTCACCGGAAACAGGGTAGTTACTACATGAATGCCTGAATATGCTAAGGCCAATCTATTCTTAATAGACCTATAAAGTCGATCTTTTTGGGAAGATGGGCCACTTGACAAGGTATGAGTTAAAGCACTACATAGCACAGTACCATGATTCCTTTTCAAAATTCAACAAGAAAAACAAATCATCCAATGGGAAGTCTGGAAATGAAGTCCTAAACAAGATACAGGTGTTTACAATAAACATTGGTTAAATGGCAAAACTACAAATGTTGTCAAGTTTGATCTGCATTAAAAATACTAACTCGTCCAGGAGTTGGCTCTCGACCTTACCTTTGTAGGAATTGTTTTCTAGATAGGATTTTCAGGAGGGGATATGTGACTTTTTCTTCAATTCAGATCTTGTCTATTTGCTCATTAAGTGATCCAAAATAAACACTTGGGTGCTGTAATATCTAACTGGCATCCCGCATAGGTATTATAGATGGCACTCTCATTGCATAGAAACACTAGCCTGAATGAAAGTGCTTAAAAAAGCCCTCTTTTTCTGATGAAAACGTTCTTATTTCATGGAACAGAGCATGTGATGAAATCAAAGGAACACGACCTGAAAGAACAGCATCTTAAAGGCAGCAGATGCAGCATGAGACCTGACACCCTCAACCCTTGAGCATTGTTTCTTTGCATGCAAATTGAGACTCAAGGCAAACAACAGAGCGACCAAGATAGCCGCTTTTTCTGAAAAACAAGTCTTCACCCTGGATCTGGATGCAGCTGAACGAAGGCTGAACATGGTTCGAACACTGAAAGTTCCATTCTACGACTGCAACATCTAGAATGTTGTACTCTAATGTATGTTGAATGAGAGATACAGTTGTATGTAATGAACCAAATAATTTGAATTAATGTTGCTGTATTCAATAATGCTGTGAAAAGAATTGAGTAATACTCAAGCACTAGGATTTTTTATCTGTTCATAATGGTGGTGCTAAAAATACTAAAATTCAGAAATAAAGAGTTCAGAAGTAAATTCTGAAGTTCAGAAATACTAAAATTACTTGATCATGGGTGCATATTACAAAGAAAAAATAAATACGGATTTCAAATTACACATATCATAGACAGCTAAGGGTACTAAAAACATATGATACAAGAGCTTAAATTTAAAGCATTTCATAAGGATTTTAGGTTCAATGGCAACAAAAACCAAAAAAACTGCGGTGACAAAAGGTAAGTACCAAAACTGAGTCAAATACAACATACAATATATGGAATCGAAATGGCAAACTCACAAAGTGGACAAAATAACTGATAAATGAAAATAACTGACAAAATAACAAAATAGCTGATGTGTTTCAGGGCGCCTAACCCTTTTGAAGAAATCGGAATTTGCCGTGACAGGAGAAAGATGCCCCAAAACGTTTTGGCCTTTTTCATTTTGTTTATTTTGTAAACATGAGTTTATTATTTCGATTCTTTTAATTACATGTTGTTTTTGCCTCAATTTTAAGTTCAAACTTAAAAAATGCTGGAAAATGTTACCTTACATCTTATGTTGAATGATTTGCATTCATCATTTAATAGAGGTAAGTGAGAGAGATATTTAAATCCAATATGTTACTTACTTTAAATCTGCTTCATTGAAAACTGAGTCACCAGCAGGTAAGGACACATACTTTATTTTGAGAATATTATCCTCGAATTCTCCAAAGCGCGAACAGTTTGCAACCTCAACAGATAGGTGATTTAGAACAATGAACCTCCTTGTCGCAGGGACTATCATATCCTAATCAATCAAAATTGAAAAAACATCTCATTGATCATAGATTCATGTGCTTGTTGATGGAAAGAATTGAGGACAATGCTAAAAAGAGCGCTTATGTAAAAAGTACAATGTTTCGAAAAAAACTCATTTTAATGTTTGAAGTGGTTTCCCAACAAACCATCAGGATCAATAGGTTGAACCAAAGTCCTGAAATCTATTAATAGTTTAAAAAAATTATAAAAGGGTGCAATTTGAGGTAAACTGTTCTTCTGGTGTAGTCCCCAGTTAGAAGAATCAAGTTTTTTCGGAAATTATGTCTTGTTTTTTATTTTCTGTGTTACACATTTATTGGCAAAAACTGAGTTTTTTCAGAACAAATTAAAAGCATTGAATGAAAATCTAGATAATTCCCTGATAACAATGTGAAATGACTATTTTTAAATTTATTTTGAGGATTTTCATGAATGGTCCATTTTTGTTTCTATTCGTAAATCCAGAGTAAAAAGTTCCGCGAATCAATGCCACTTTGATGAATGCCTAATTATGGGTATTACAAGGGTTATTTTACAAGATTATTTTGGAGGAGGTAGATCTGTACTTCGAGAGTGTATACCTAATAAAATTTTAGAGTTTATTAGCTTAGAAATAAAGTAAAAAATACGACTGGAAAAATTTCAGTAATGTAATATCATGAGGGATCCATGAAATATTTTCAGCCGTACTTCTGACTTCATTTTTGGGCAAGTTGACTTCAAAATTTAATCATATCTTCCGGAGGTACAGATTTGCTTCCTGCCAATCCAATTTTTTCGGATTAACCCAAATGAAACTCTTGATTAGTAACACATTGACATAGTGGTTGTACATGGAACTATTTACCCTCGATTCAACTGAAATAGCTATACGTCATAGGCTCTTGAAGTCTCAGAAAAATTCGACAAAAATACTTGCCAATCCGTCAGGCCCATGGAGCGTAATTTTAGGAAGGCCAACATCCTGAACAGTGAGTGCCAAACCAGGCAGTCCACCAATGTTGCTCCATGCAGGCCTAGTGATGAAAACATGTTCAAGTTTGCTCAATTTCCGTTTGTGTTCATTGGCCAGCCTTTGAACGCCCTCTCCACAATTGAACAAATAACTGAAACATGAGAATGAATGTGATGAACTGCAGGATACATGGGAGCCTTCCCAACATGCGAAAATAGTAATGTAATTTAAATCAAATTGTAAAAGATTACACAATTTTAAGGACCAGGATGGTCTGTAAGATTAATGGAATCACAGTAGGTATGTGACCAGTTTTTCGGACAAGGCAGTTTACAAGACCTTGTGTCTATTTCAAGTTAGGGACGAGTTCTATGGGACTCTAGACTCCTTTATGAACCAAAGTAAAAATCAGTGATTAGTTGCTAAAGCTGTGACCTCGCAAAGGGTCCTTATAAGTAACTGCTATTAACAGTGGTTCAACTTCACAAAAAATCCACAGGATCACATAGATCTGCCAGAAACTGAGTTCTTCACCCTGAGTAACTCAAGGGCATACCCTTCTAAGCAGAAATGAGTCGGAAAACGTCAAAAATGTATTTATTTCTAAAGAATTCAGCCCCCTGACAGATTATATATCAAATAACGGCTTAAATTAATTTTTGGAGCAGGCCGTGTACAGGTTGGGGTTCAGGGGGAAAGATCCTCTGAGTTCACGAGGATCCTGTGCGAGGTTGCGCTGTATGCAGTACTCGCCAGAGTACAGTATCTGATAGAACTCATCCCAGTCCAAGTGCACAATAATGTGAAAAGCCATTTAGGTCAACACCATGGGTTATACCAATTCCTGTCATACAACTAAGTACTAGCTGATGTAGGCACAGTCAAAGCAATGGTCATAAAATCGGTTGCGGTAGAATGAGCAATCTAAACTAAATTCAATAGAAACAGAATGATACGTTAAGCTTCGATGTTAAGTAGGTTACAGCCATTGAATCTAATATTAAAATCAAATTTTCTATCCCCAACAGTTGTCATAAAGTAGAACTCAGCATAAAAATAATCGGTGTCGGAACATTGGCTTTTCAAAAAATTCTAGCAATTTCTATGGTTTGGCAAACTTTCTGTGTTTTATCAATGTCAGCCTCATTTAAATTTCAATTTTAAAAGAGTACCTGTTAACACCAGTAAAGAGATACAAAGATTTGGGTGAGCCTTTAGAACCACTGCCGAGAACGTATAATTTCACAGTGCCGGGAATGTACTTCTGTAGTTTCTGCTTCCGAGCCAATCTCTGTTCTTTCAGAGCTTCATGATGACTGTAATTTTTCGGCATGATAAGGTGACGCTTCGATTGTGGGGTATTAAACCGTAAAATAACACTGCCGATCGCCGAAACACATGTGTAGGTGCATCTGATGTAATAGGGCTGCATTAATTTATCACTGTGATTCAAAGCTTTGAGGTTGATTTGTAAGCTTCAACCTCGCTGGAGGAAGTTAAAATATTTAGCGGTAATTATAGAAATTGGAATTTATTCACATAATTTCGTCACACAGAAAAAGTTACAAGAGTTACAAGTAGAGTCCCTTCAGTTACACAAAATTTGAAAATTGTCACGGAGAACCTAACCTAAAACAACTCAGATGGCAATCCAAAACAATGAGGCCTCTTTACACTAGACGAATGGTAATGGCGTATAATACGCCGCGTATTGAATCATCTGAGCTTTGAGCATTGAGTTGCATTAATTACAACTTTCTGATCGTAATGTATGGAAAAAAATCACGCAAAAATCCGTAAAGTCTCAAAATGTCTGTATAGTTTGCAGAATTTGCGGCACTTAGTATATTGTTATATTTGCCAATACGTTCGCGCAATGATATGTAACCCGTTATTGACTGTGTAAGTACGCCTTAATAGCCAATAATCATTCCATCATCCTCTTATCACCAAAACGTCTATTCAGGTCTTGTTTTCGTTGCCGTTCCTGTGCTGTGTTAAATGGTTAAAACATGTTAAAAGCTTTAGGTATGTGTTTTCAGTGCGTTTCACTTGCGAATTACTCGGGCTTGCTTCTGTGAAAAATGTTTACTGTAATGCGGAAAAAAAAGTGTGATGGTTTCATCTTTCTAGTTCTCAAGAGTTATCTCCGCTTTCACAGACCATGAGGATGTCAAAGCTATCCAATGCTATCCTGTTTTGAGTAAGTATCCCAACAAATTAATCGTTGGTTGTATGCAGTTACGCCTTGCTTAATCTGTGAGTAGCATGCCTTTCTGTCAAAGCGCTTGTGTGTCATAAAAGTTTTCATTTCTTGTTTACCTGCTCATTTCAGTAACTTCGTAGCCATCAAGTTGTCTGATCACTTCGGTCATCTCACTTATAATTTGCTGGAATGATGCTTCATGCCTTATATCTCTCTAAATTTTCAATGATAAGATGAAACTGTTATTTATGAGCCTGACAAATTAGGTAAAGAAACGCATTTCGGCAATGTGTACATTAGTAAAGTAATTTCCTACATTAAGTATCATATTTTTTTCTTACTGACAATAATGTTTCAATGTGGCTCTTCTGAATTACCAACTATCTTTATAAATTTGTTTGCACTTTCCCAGGTTTGATTGGAACAGTTAGAATTGTTCTACGGCAGACCACTTCAGTGAAAAGTATATGATGGTTTACGATGTATACCTAGCATAGATTATTAGTGGCCAGAAGATGCTAGAAGCAGAAGGTTTTATAGTTGTAGTGTCCTTCTTAAATCAGTGAATTTCCCGCTTGTACCTCTATTTGTAAAATATTTGTACAGAACATGGGTGCATTGATAGAAAGCCAACATCAATCTGCACTGTGTTGCCTTCAAACAAAGTTTATAAGGCTGAATTGAACCCTTTGACAAAAGTGTAGGTATTCATCTCTTTCAAGAACTTGCTGAGACGAGATTAAAAGAACAATGTCAGCTCCATTATGGAGGTGCCTTTCGTTTTTCTTTTTTCTTTTTTTTTATAAAGTCCATTCTTGGGAAGTTCATACAAAAAGAAAACTGGATTTGATAGTCTGTTCTGTTATTTCAGTAATTAACCTTACTTACATAGAGAGTTGTCAGAACTTGTCATAATCTTGGCAGACATTGGTTGATTCGCTTCCTTCCAGAAAAGAAGTGCGAGCATAGAGCAGGAAGAGATGAGTGCCTGTGCTTCATGGTGAACACTGTCTGGAAGTTACATTTTCTCCAAAAGTTTCAATCGGTCTGAAGTTAGCAAGTTTTTTGATGAATCAATCTTATGGAACCTGTGTCCCACTAAATAGTTACCCATCTCACACCACTCTAGTCTAAATGTAGCTCTGACATTATACCTGCAGGACGATATTCTCATTTTCTTTTAGTCTTACCTAATCCGAAGTTCCCTAGAAATTACTTGGAAGTTCAGAGTTACCATCTGGTAGGTTTGATTTTTCTTCTTAAGCAGTCCTTTCTGTGAAAGTTTCCACTCATTTTGCAACACCCAGGCAGGAACATTGCTACACCTATTTGATCTGGTGACCTCCTTTTTTTCTTTCCTTTAAGTTTCTTTTTTTCTTTTCTTATCCCAAAAATAATTCCAGAAGGTCTCGAGAGGATGATAAAAAAAAGGTACTAAAAATGTCAAAAATTTCCTCGGACAGATAATACAATAAGTAATTCCGGTCATTTTGAAACAAATCTCAGGTACTTTAAACCTCTTCAGAACTTGAGAAATCTCTGTAAAAATTTATGTCTAAAATTTTATGAAATTTTAATTTATGGGGCAAATTGTTGCCTCACAAAAATTCGGACAAATCTCAGTTTTGTGCGTACCTATACCCTTCACCAAAATAATTTCAAGTTGCTGGCCAAAAAGGAAGCGCTCAAATCCATTCTTTATCCTTCATTTTCTGTCGACAATGGCGAGAGCAACCAGCGCTGCATAAATCGCCTTCAGGTTTGAGGGTAGGCCATATCTCATACTTGCATGCGCGAATCTACCGCGCTCTGCGGCGTGGGCACCAGCTTTGGCGCTTTTTCATCTTTCGACTTCGGATCCGTAGAATGACTGCTGAAACTATACTGATTTTCTAAACAAGATTCGTGGTGACGGAAGGCCATACCTATACACCTAATTCGAATTTTCATGTTCTTAAATCTCCTCGAAGTTAAGGACATTGCGTATACCCCCAAAACGTATTTACGAGAGAGAACTCCACAATCTAGAAACGGGTGTACGATGAACTGGAAATGGACGAGGAGCATCAGGTATCAAAGAAGCTCCCAGCGGTGTTTTGTTTTAAAGTGATAATTTAAAATTTATTTTATCAAATGAAGTATATTTACTTTTTCATCGATCACATTGAGTGATTTTTTAATATTACATTCAACGTTGGACATAAAACATCAAAAAAAAGAAAATGGAAAAACTTTTCTTCTCTCCACAATATTTGGTCGTGTTTAAGGAAGATTTTCATCCCTTCTGAGTTTCATGAGGTAGAGGCTGTCAAAAAAAGACCATTTTTGTGCCCCTTTTTGGAAACACAAGGGTGTCGTTCAAATTCATCCCAAATCAAACGTGACCATGAAATAATCCTTTAGCGAAAGTTTTAACCTGAATTCATCGCTCATTTTGACAATACAGCGCTGCAAAGTGCATTTTTTCTATTGGAAATGCTAATTTTTTTCAAATTGTTCGGTCATATGAACAGCGTTGATCGATCTTTCTTCATTTTATGGGGCACGATTTCGTCGACCGTCCTTGAGATTTCGATCTAACGATTAGTCATGGCACAACGTTGCAAATTTTTCGTGTCAATTAACGCGCCAGGTTTTTTTCTAGGTAAAGTCGGCTGATGTCCGGGGCTAGGGGCCAGAGGGCCGATAATTGAAATTGATAGACAAAGCTATAGACAAAGAAGACAAAAGAGATATGGAGGGATCCCATTAGTGGAAGCGAGTGGAGCTTTGTCTATTAATGTCAATAATCGGCCCGTAGACAGGGAATGGAACCCCAAGGCTGACGTGCTAAGGAGTAACGCCGTATGAGCATTCGAATACTGCCAAATTTCCTCTCAAAAATATTTACATTTTAAGAAAGTTATGAATAATTTCCCTTAAAATGTTCAGACTTTTCATATCAAATCTTAAATGAAATTCTCTGAAAAATTGAATGAAAAATTTTCCCAAATTTTTCCGAAAATTCGTAATTTGTCGAAGGAAATTTGGCAACGTCTGGAGGCTCATGCGGCGTTCTTCTGTTGAACGGAAGAAGGAGTGGAACCATAAAAATTCGATTCCTGGAGTTAGTTTCCTATTCGACTCCCTGGTAAAATTGGCAGTAGAATCTGTGTTCCAAAATACCATAGACTTAAAGCCGGCTGTAAGATTTCTAATAGCTTCTGTAGCCGGCTGTACAATTTCTTATAGCCTTTAATAGCCGATGGCGATTAAGCATTAGCCAGACGATGAAGTTTATGCTAAACGTTACTAAATACGGATACTAGGACTTAGTGAGTTTTTGGACTACCGCTCTCTTTTTGTGCCGTAGTATCTTGATTTATTTTGCGAGGAAAGCTCCGTACTTTTGAAGAATGCCTGTCATTCTTAATATGTTAGAGCGCCTTCAATTTCTTATGATACTGTGCAATACCTCTGGTGTGAAATAGTTGCTTCAGACGCCGTGGCGCGGCAGGCGGGCAGAGAGCGCGCAACTCGCATTGGCGCCTACAAACCCAACAGTGATACCTCACGCATTGCGCAATACGTGGAGTATCCCTGTTAGATTTGTAGGCGCCAGTGCGTCGCCGCTCCGCTTTGTGTTAGGCTCTAATATTCAATCTCGCGGAGTCAGCGTTTTTCAATTCATGATTCTGAAATGTTTGCACACTCTGTATGGATTATTCTCATTTTAATTGATGAAAAAAAAATATTTTTTAAAGGAAAATATAATGTGTGTTTTGTAAATATTAAGGTAGTTCCGTATCAAACATAATGCTTTCCAAAGCACACGAATATCTACACAATTTCTTATAGCCTTTTATAGCCAATGGCGATAAAGTGTAAAGCCCGGCGATAGAAACCATAGCCCGACTGCATACTTTTTTATAGCTTCGCATAGCCCGGCTATATGATTTGCTCCGCTTCCTACTGCCAGCTATATGATTTTCTATAGCCTTCTTTAGTCGGTCACAAGAACTCCTATGGTATTTTGAAACGCAGCCCCTATCGTCAATTTTCACCAGAGCTCCTCTGTCCCTAACATCATCCGACCTAGAATAACCGAGTAAAATCCCAGAAGGGGTTGTCTCGGACACCTCTTACTAACTTTTTGTTTTATTTTCTGGGGCACTATTTCATCATTAGATGTTACTCGGAGATTAAGATTGTCGTTGACACTACGATTTCGCGATTAGTCGTGATAAAGCGACGCTGATTATGTGTATACAAGGTGCTCTAGATGATGCTTGTCAGGCTTTTTTCTCGGTTATTTTATGAGGGTGGATGTCTTAGAGGCAATGATGTCGTGCTAAGGAAGAACGCTTGAACGTTGCTAAGTTTCCTTCGATAAAAACCGAATTTACCGGGAAAATTGTCAGTATTTTTTCCCAAAATTT